TAAGCTGTCTGCGCTGTCGCCGTTGTGAATATGCTGCTGTTGTTGCTGCTGCTTCTCTGGCGTTGGTACCTGACTGTGCTGCTTGGTGCTACGAACATGAAGTAATCTGCCCTTTTCCATCCTTTGCAGCTGGCGGTACACCCAGCGCGCAACTTGCCGGGCAATGTGTGAGGCGTGTCGGGCCTGAGCGCAGCAACGACGAGTCAGCAACATATACAACCTAGAAACAAAAGTCTTGCACAGCCGCTGCTGCTGCTGCAGTTAACGGATGCTTAACTTACATTTTGAAAAGAAGAACCATCCGGCGGTGCCGCGCCTGCAGAAGCATGCATCGCAGCCAGCTGAGGAGTGACAGGCTTAAAGAGGGCAGGAATTATGGGGTTCTTGAAAAACGCATGTAACAGAAGTATCAGAAAGGTTGCAGCAGCAATAAAAACCACAGATACGTACTGTGAGAGGTTATCCCTTCCATGCGAGATGCGAGGACAGTCGAAGAAACGCGAACTATAACCGGCGGCCTGGGGCCCTTCGCACCCATGGAGAAGAAGCCCCCTAGTTGCACAGGCAGATCGTGCTGTTCTGGCAATTTGCTGCTGTCGCTGCAACTACCATTGCTGCTGCTGCTGCTGCTGCTGCTGCTGCTGCTGCTGCTGCTGCTGCTGCTGCCACTGTCGCTAATTTTCGTGCCGTCCTGATCGCTAGGCCGGCTCTGTGTGACACTCTTCTCCCTTGGGTCCTGTGAAGGGGACGTCGAAGCATCCGTCGCGGCAAGCAGCTGCTGCTGCTGTGCAGCTACAGCTTCTCGAAGGACAGTAGCAGACGGCAACAGATCATCCATGTCATCGACCACAGGCTCTGGCTGCTGCTGCCGCTGCTGCTGCTGCTGCTGCTGCTGCTGCTCTTCTGGTCGTTGACCCTGGTCAGGATCTGCTGTAGGAGCAGGAGAGGCGACCGCTTTCTCTAAGGCGGCCTGAGGGAAAAGCACCAACAGCAGCAAAGCAGTTGTGTCATGGCTGCGCCTTTCATGCTCCGGCGGGGGGGGCGGCAGCAGCAGCTGGGCCAGAAGCTCGGGTTGCAGGTTTTTCTTTTGCAGCGGGTAGCGCACTTGAATAGCATTAAGGATCTCTACGCCGTAGCGGTGAACCGCTGGTGGTGTGGGGCGGATGGCATGACGCAGCTGGACGTGGTTTGACGGCCTCTGAAGCAGCAGTAGCAACGGCAGCAGCCGCAACAGCACAAACGCCACAGGTGCAGACGGGGATGCAGTAGCGTTTTTCAGGACTGTCGATGCAACTCGGAAGGTAAGAGGCTGGTAGACATCAGCAGTAACAACTACTTCTCCGTCTCTGTGCTGCTATTGCACCAGCGGATGATGCTCCTGGTTGGGCATCACGTGCTTTCTCCTCACCCTTTGCGCCAGCAGCAAGATGCAGGCGTTTGCCAGAACCGCGTGGGGACTGACGTCCCTCTTTCGCGCCACAGAATCTCGCCATGAGAGGAGTCCCTTCTGATCCCACAGTAAAGAAAACCCAGATGCATCCAGAATGAATCAGCAACAGAAGCAAAGCCAGCAGCAGCAGCACGAGATCGAGACAAGCATCACCGACAGCCTTGACACAAGAAAATGAAAACCAGATGGAAGTGCAAGCCGCAACCACAATCCTCCAAGGGAC